ATTTTATTTTATTTTATTTTATTTTATTTTATTTTATTTTATTTTATTTTATTTTATTTTATTTTATTTTATTTTATTTTATTTTATTTTATTTTCGGTTTTCGTTTTTCTATCTTATTCCTATCGATTAGCTTCTCCGATTTCTGTTTCTCCTCTCGCACAGCCATGGTCACCACACGTAATAGTAAGATACTCAAGCATGTTAGGGACGACGACGAGTCCTCCGACCCAGATGATGAGGCTTCCAGCACATCAGGCGACGAGACTCCCAACGACCCAGCCTCGACCCACATCTACGGCCTTGCCTCCTATTTCTGCACACGGGAAGAATTCCATGACGTCTTGAGCCAGTTGTACGACATGCAAGACCAACCTTCATACAGGCGAGGTTATCCCAGTGTCATGCATGACATGTTCAACAAACTGCACATCACCGTGATGAGCTGGACTTGGCAGTGGAGCCAAGAAAAAAAGGACCAGCATCTCTCGAAAGACGAAAAGCAGGACATCATTGCCAGCCTCCAGGGCCAGTGCGTTCAGGACGACTGGGATAGTATCAGAGCTTTATCTCCGCCGGCAGTTCGCGGGAATCTGTGTGGTGTTCTACTCCAAGCAATGCTTTATCAATTCATCTTCGCAACATTTATCGAATCTCCCTTTTGGTTCATGGATGGCAGGATCGATTCTACCGACGTCGAAGGTGATCCTCAGTTCCCTCGACGGTTTCGGCATCTGTATGATAGACTACGTGCAGCAACCGGCTTTGGTGCAGCATGCTTGAAATCATTGGTCATATCGGAGTCCAATGCGAACGGCCCCTTCGTCGGCGTGCCTCATGACACGGAACTTGCCCGGAGCAATTTTGCCCGCCGTAAGACATTAATAACTGCTTTTAGAGATGAACTTCTTGGGCGCAGGGTCTTCCAACTTCTTCTTCGCCCCTTGGAAGATGAGGCTGTGATAGCAGAACGCAACGACGCGCTTCAGGACCTCCTTGAACAAGCAGTTAAGACAGTCCTCTACACCGAGGGTGGGATCTACGGCAACTCTGTGATAACTCGCCTACCCGAGCTGCCGGTCTTTGACTACGAGGATGACCGCATGACCTCGCACTATTATCACTTCATCAACGATCGCCGCATTCGAGGCTTTGCACCTGCCCAGGGGGGTTGCAGCCTCATTGTTGCTCGCCCGGGACTCGCCTATGCCGACATGCAATCGTTTGGTCAATTTGCGAAGCGCTCGCCTTACCAAATGTTCCCGGCGGAAGTGGTGGGCGAGATAATCCCGGAGAAGACCTGTACCAAGTCCAAGGCGATGTCCCGAAAGACGAAGTCCAGCAAGACGACGAAGTCCAGAAATAAGAAGGCAAAAACGGATTCCAAACCCGATTCCAAGTCTGTGGTCTCCGAGACCCCCTCTGAGTCTCAGGTATCCAACGCACCCGATGCCGACAACGACTCCAAGGAAAAAAGAGAGGAGAAGCAGAAGATCCCCACTCTGGAGCATCTGACGCCGCGGCTAAGGAAGACCTTCTGGCGGGACTGAATGATATACATTGGCTGTTGGTCTTCCACTCATCCAATCCATCCGTAACAAGAGCCAGCTCTCCATGTGTCTGATTTCTGGTTTTTTCTTTCTTTCTTTTTTTCGGGTATTGTGTAGGTTTTGGTTTCCAATTACTATTGTATCGCCGCTCCTCGTGATTGTTATGTGATAATTTTAATTTACTCATTACCGAGAGCTGCTCATTTTAAGCTTAGGGGCCGTTCGTGTATCTGTGTGTCTGTGTATGTGTGTCTGTGTGCAGATGTACTTTTGGTATTGTTGTACTATTTGCTGATTTATAGTGAATTTGATTGCTTCACTAGGATGGCATACGATACCAAATTGCTATCAACCTCGCGATTTTTTTCGCCGGCATGGGCTCGTTCCTTGATCGGCATATTGATTGCTGAATTCACGAGCGGTACACAAGTCCCATGCCTGCTGCAGACAGTATCAATACCATCAAGCCGGTGTCTGTCGGTTGTTATTTCCGACATCTAAAAGGTCCTATCAAGTTAATTCCGTGTAAGCTGGAACTCTCCGTATTCCGCTACTCTCCGTGTAGTGCAGCCACCTCAACCTACTGTATTGCATCTTCTCTTGTGGGGCAGGAACTTATTGGATACAAGGCCCGTGCTCTTTTCTTTTTCTTTTTTCTTTTTTCTCTTTTCTCCCTGCCTGGACCTCTCTCGCCAGTCCAAAGTCCGTTTCAAGTCCCACGACCCGTGTTTGGGGAGGGTTCATTGGCTTCTGTGTCAGCCTCTTGCAATAGTCCGGTTGTGAATTAGCCATCGGCAACGCTGCTTCCGGTCCAGCGCCCGGGGTTGATGACGGAAAACACATCTAGGACCAGTCAGCCACCTCCTTGGCATCGGATAGTTATTCTCTTGGATATCCGCTCATCGATTCCTCCGAAGATAGGGGAGGGCACCATGCTTTTGCTCCAAAGTTACTATCATCTGAATCAGGGGGTGGTCTTGTGGTCGTCCGGTCTGCTACGGGTCCGTACACGACACCGTCAGGGACGCCACGAGGTCCAGCCTATGATGATCTAGACGACACGGTTGGGAGGTTTCATCCGAAGGAAAACAAGCGTGTTGTTGATCTTTCGGCGAAATAGGGATGGGGGACGCCACCCTCGTAACTGGTATTCCGGGTCTCACCGAACGGCAAGAGGGCGAGGGGCCATTGGTATGAAGAACCAGCTGTGTGACCCCGGGGAAGCAGTTTCCCGTGCCGACAAGGTTTGGCTGATACTGAGGGCGTTTGTGCTATTGCCCCGTGGACACTCGTAGGTGCTTTGACTTGCCCGTGAGTGACGATGGATCGATCAGCCGTCTACCGAAAAGGGGCAACGGTCAGCAGCACTGAGGCCAAGGAGGCTTTTCAGGTCGTCCTCGTATGTGTCTCTGACTAGGATTGGGCCGCGGACAGATGAGGATGGATAAAGACGGATTTTCTGGAAGAGGGGCTGGAATTCTGTGACAGCGCCATCATACGGCAGCGTTCTGGCTAGTTGATATTTTTGCGTTAGCACGAGCTCGATAACTCCATCTCCGACAGCTGTTTCTTTTGTCAGAACGGGAATCATATCCATCCCTTCGTGACAATGTGCCCTACTTCGACGAAAGACTTTCGCCGTGGCTTCCTGACGGTTTCATCGACAACCAGGCAGCATCCATCGATCATGATGTGAGATCCGGTATACTCAATGATTTCATTCAACACGTTCAAAGGGATAACAACTGCTCAGGGCCATTTCCCGGGGGCTAAAGCGGCGAAATGTGAAGGGAAGGAGGAGAGGCGACCGGGGGAAACCGACATCATCGGAGTCGATCACCATATCCTACACACAAAGTGAGGCAACCCCCTGCTGCCACTTCACTATTGGAGCTGACTGGTAGATAACCGAATTTCATCCTTGTTGATTGTGTGTCCCGATGGATGAATGTCCAGTTAGTCCACAAAGACCCTCCAGTCAGTCGATGGCAGAGGCTGGGGGTAGATCACGACGGTCAGCAGAAATCGAATGGACCTCTGAGCCGGGTGACCTGCCCCGGAAGGTCACCGAGGGGGCCCCTTCCACAGCCTGGTTGGTGGCAACTATCTAGTAGTCCACCTAGTAAGTAGGTGCGAATCGGCCGACGCAAGGATGGGGACGGCGGTTTCACATCGGTTCATCGTGGCTGATCACTCGCAGTTTTCCTTTCTTGACCCCCTCCCATCTTTCCGCGAGCTACTCACCCCCGGCCTCAGCGACGACGATCATTGATGGAAGAACCATCGTCCATCTGTAACAACAAGGTACAAGGACCCTCCGCGACGGGATAAAGAGGGACGAGCCGAACGTGGGACACGCAGCTTCCATGGGTGCCGCTGGCTCACGGCCAATGCAGGTTTCACCTCGGGAGAATGGCGGCCATACGCGACCGGGAGGCGACCTTCATGTGCAGGACATCCGACACGGATCTCAATGGCTGATCCTGTGGCCACCTGTTACATCGGCGGACCAGGCAGATGAGCGAGCGAGCGAGGCTTCAGCCTGGGGATGAGTTCACACGGGCGCGGGGGACGGAGTGGGCCTGGATGAACCCCCGGGTGCGTCGGGGAGAGAGCTCTACACTGGCCAAAGAAAAGAGGGATATAGCTGTTGCCACTGAAGACACCATCGGAATGTCGTGGCATAGCCTCACTGTGAGTAATAAGATTTTGTAGCCGGTAGTTGCCTAACTATGTATGTGGAGTGTAGACTTTGTACCCCAGCCTTGGCCTTGGATGGTCGGCAGAGCTGCCTGATGAAAAAGTGGGAATTTCTATTTGATCATCCACAGTGGGTAAGCAGACTTGATAGGAAGATAGAAAGTGCGATTATATTCAACAGTTAGTAGTACATAGAAGGGACGTATCTGGAGAGTGGAGAGAGATACAGTATCTATCGACTATCAAGATACATACTTACTCATACTCCGGTTTAGGGCCAAGACAGATCCACCGGCAGTGGTACCGGAGCCGGGCCGGGTTCCTTTCCGGTGGTTGGTTCGGGTTGAGGTTGACCATGAGGAAACACATCGGGATTAGTACTTAGTCGTAAAAAGTATGGGGAAGAAGGAAACAAATGGGGGGAGGAGTGTGACATTCTGATCCAATTGTATCATGGAACATCGGAGAAATGGGGAAGCGGCACGAGCTAACTGGCGAGTCCGCCTAATCCCCGGAATCCCGAGCTGGCTGGTGTGTCTTGATCGATCGTTTTCTCGGTCTCTCTCTTGCTTCTCCTCTTCGCTTCTTGCCTTGCTTACTGTTTGGTTCCGGGGATAACCATAGCCAAGCCCTAACACACTTGTTCTAGAAGGCGGGAAGGGGGAGCTGGAAATTTGAGAGGTAGGCAGTATGGAGTAAGGTAGTACTAGTACTCCTGTCTACCGGCTATCTATCCAGTTAGATCACGAGTACTCGTGGGTTAAGGAAATGAAGGGTCCGGCTAACCGGCCAGGAACCGGATCAACGACCAAACCTTCCAACATATACTCACTCACACCTTTTCCCTTATCAGTATATCAAAAGGGCATTATCAACCATCCCGTGTAAAAGCCGGCGATAATAATTATGAAAAAATTATTATCACCTAGTTTGGTCATATCGCCATCATTTCCCCAGAATTACCAGCGCCCTGGCCCTAACCCTACAGACTAGCATGGTTCCACGTGGTAGGATAGAGGGGCCAAGGAGAAAAAAAAAAGAAAAGGAACGCCAATGCAACAGTTCATTAAACACTTATTTATTCCATGTTGTTAGTTGTATAGTGGTTACGTTGGGTTCGGTACACCAAGGAAAAGAACGTAGCTGAAATCAATGGTCCGGTGAAGGTTAAGAGCCCTTGTCCAGATTCCTGTCAGATCGAGGCTCATTTTTGAGTCAAATCATTAACCAAGCGGATATGTAAACCAAAAACAATGAAAACCTCCCTTCGCTTCGGTTGTTCATATATTCAATCCATGATGGACAATAATTATTTGGAACCATTGCCCCTTCATCGCCCAGATCCTGACTCAGCAGCCAGCGTCTGCATGTCCTGATTTGAACTAGTGAACAACCCTTTTCAGTTAGCTTGGTTCTCGGAGCCAATCAGAAACATCCATGGGCCCCTCTCTCATTTTCCTCACTACTAATAAATTCTTTTCTCATTTCAAATTGTTTTCGCCTTTTTGTCCGTTTTCGTCAATTTGCTTCTTTTACCCTCGCTTTTCTTGTTATTTTTCCTCCTCTTCATTATCATGATTATTATACATGGTACCTCTTCGGTTGTCATTATTACGATGGATAATGATTCATAATTGGTGCACACCGTAGTTCTCGAAAGAGCAACAGGAGATAACCAGCCTGAAAATATACACACTATTACCATCAGGTACACCGGGCTACGTAGAATCCACCAGCAACGGGGGCATCTTGGTTGAAAGCATACTTTTTTTTTCAGAGTTCTTACCGCAATCAGATATTACACCAGGACCTACCTACCCATGGCACATGCATAACCGCAGCATTAGTTAGCCTGGTAGTCTAATTAGCAGTCTAATAATTATAAAGTACGTATTAGCATTTGGAGATGATGGATGATTGATCAGGAAACGCCTGGGGTGCCCCAAACTCTATCCGCTTCGATGTTGCGACCGTCACCTCACGTCAAACAGTTCACCGTCATGGATTTCTCCAGGTAACGAGTTTCCGTTGGAGTGATCAACCCAGCGGGTGGTACTCTGGGGGAAATCCAGCCCGACTTCTCCAGTGTGATTCGCTCTGCCTTCCCAACTGAACCACCGGACAGACAGACTTAGTCTGCCTTTAACGTAAGGAGATTGATTATCGGGCTCGGGGATGGCTCCACCGCGCTGTGGCCACGGGCGAAACTTCATCCTCGTTTTTTCTTTTCCTTTCCCCCCCCCACAATCTGAGCGAAATGCAGAAAAAGCCTAAACCCGCAGCTTCTTAATAATAACCAACGGTAGATAACTACGTGCTACGTGCTAGATACTACGGTGCACTCTACTGCTACTTTGCTATTTAGTCTACTAGTCAAGCAAAGGCCAGCCCATCCTCCACACCCCGTCAGCCCGCCCATAATACGTATAGCCCTCCCCCGGTGTGTCTGTCTGCAGCCCTCCGCTACCATCAAACTTTCTATCTTTTTTTTTTCCCTCTCTTTCTTTTCCCTTTCCCTTCCTCTCTGTCTTGCTCCTGTTTCTCTCTCCTCTCTCCTTTTCCTTTTCCTTTCCTTCTCTTAGTGTAGCGCCTCTATCTTCTTTCCGCTTGACAACTTACAACCACCTCTCCGCTCCGCTCCCTTCTTCTTTTCGCCATGGCTCCCACTACCCGGGATCCTGAGGCTCTCGCCGTCCACCACGACTCCGACATCATGGCTGATGATCTGGCCGAGAAGAAGATCTCCGCCCATGAATCCTCCCCGGAAAATGACCCTTTTGGCAATGAGGAGTGTGGTGAGGTCAAGTACCGTGTCATGAAATGGTGGCACTGCGGTATATGTAAGGTTCCTCGGAGCTTCTCCCCAAGCACAACCTCCATCAAGAGTAAAGGAACACCGTCTGAGCTGAATCGTGATAGTGATGATCGCGGAGAATATCTCCCTGGGAATTCTGTCCCTGCCATCGGCCGTGGCGACTCTCGGAATTGTCCCGTGAGTGCTTCCACTTTGTCAACTTTCATTCTATTCCGTACCCTCGCTAATATGCCTCATTCAGCTCCATCTTCCTCATCTTGGGTTTGTCTGGCATTTCCTGGTACACTGGCTATGTCATCGGCCAGTTCAAGCTGCGCTATCCCCAAGTCCACAGCATGGGTGATGCGGGAGAAATTCTCTTTGGCCGCATTGGCCGCGAAATCCTATTCTTTGGCCAATTGCTGTTCTGCATCTTTTTGATGTCAAGTCACATTCTCACTTTCACCGTGCTGTTCAACACCATCACTGGTCACGGCACCTGCACCATCGTCTTCGGTGTTGTCGGTTTGATCGTCAGCTTCATCGGTGCCCTGCCTCGTACCATGGGCAAGGTGTATTGGATGTCTCTTGCCTGTATGTCCAGCCCACCCCCTCTTTGCTGCTTGGTTCTCAGACCGAGACTGATGACCTTTTCAACAGCTTGTACCAGTATCACCATTGCCACGATCGTCACCATGGTGGCCATCGCCGTGCAAGCACCTGATCATGTTCAGGTTGACATCACCACCCATCCTAGCTTCTCGACCGCTTTCCTATCAGTGACCAACATCGTCTTCGCCTTCAGTATGTCCTTGTGCATGTTGTTCTCTTTTCTCGGAGCGTCCTTCCTAATCCTTGCTCTGCAGTTGCTCACGTGGCCTTCTTCGGATTTGCCTCGGAAATGGAGGATCCTCGCGACTTCCCCAAGTCGCTGGCTATGCTGCAGGTCACCGATACGACCATGTACATCGTCACCGCCATGGTCATTTACCGCTACGCCGGTCCGGATGTTGATTCCCCGGCTCTGTCCTCTGCCGGTCCGCTGATGAGCAAGGTTGCCTACGGCCTTGCCATTCCTACCGTGAGTGTCTCCTCCATATTTCGTTTCCATTTTGCATACTAATATACTCTCCGTGGTAGGTGATCATTGCCGGAGTTGTGTTCGGTCATGTCGCGTCCAAGTATATCTACGTCCGCGTCTGGCGCGGCTCTCCCCAGATGCACACCAACAGTCTTTCGGCTGTCGGATCCTGGGTCGCCATTGCACTGGGCGTGTGGGTGATTGCTTGGATCATTGCCGAGTCGATCCCCGTATTCAATGATTTGTTGAGTTTGATCGTATGCTATCCTAGCCCCTGAGACGTGCGGTAAATGTGTTGTCACTAACGGGAGTTGTGATTGCAGAGTTCTCTCTTCGGTAGTTGGTTCAGTTGTAAGTTCCCCTTCTCACCCTTTCCGCCTTTTCTGTGGAACCCCAGGCTTATCGTTTCATTTCAGACGGACTCCCTGCCATGTTCTGGTTGGTCATGAACCGTGGACAGTATACTGCCTCGCCCAGAAAGATTTTCCTGACCATTGTCAATCTCGTCATCTTTGCCATTGCCTGCGCTATTGTATGTTGTCAACTTATCTATTCTCGTTCTACAATTGTACATTGATACTAACAAGACCAGTGCGGATTGGGTCTTTACGTCTCTGGCAAGGCCATCCACGACAGCTCTTCCTCTGCTAGCTGGACGTGCGCCAACAACGCCTCCACCTAAGGGTGGGTTGAGTCCTTCCGGGACCCGGCGGATTCTTCACGGGATCCCCCTCGCCTCCCTCTCTGCTAATCTCCCAGATCGAGCTGGGCTGTTCTGGGGTATTCAACTTTGCGGTGTTGGAATTGGTGTTTGATGGGTCATTTTCGATGAGTTCTGAGGAATGGTTTTTCATGTCATGATTTTGTTTTGCGTCTATGGTTTGGTTTTCTCCTCTAGCCGGCATCTACTCGTACCTACTACCTGTCTGTTCATTGCATGTTATTTCCCTCCCCCTTGTGTACGGAATGTATATACTATTGCTGCCATTATTACTACTACGACTATGACTACTACTCTATCCTGGTTGGTCCACTCGGTGGGTGGCTACTGCTGGGTGGAAATGGATGCAGAGATTCTCTGCGGTGCATTGCATCGCGTCGCGAAAATTTGGTTCTTGCATTTGGGTTTAAAGAAAACAGCGCGCGAGTCTTTGATACATCTAGAAATATAAACTTATTCACGATGAAGCGTTGTTGGGCACTAGGGCTGATGTTACTATGAAGTACTACCTTGCAGGTTCCGCAATTTGTCCAGACTTGTTCGGATTCTCCTGTTTCCAACGACCTTGTTTTAGGCTTCATCTTAGCGGTACCTAGCACGCCACCAGTCCAGCCGCATCCGATGAATAGCCGCTAATACACCACAATGGCTGATCTCCCACCTGATCCTCGTAGCAGCAGGCGTCCTTCGGTGCTGCTCCGACTGGCTGGTCCTGAAAGCATTGTCGGCGCCGGCCACAACCCTAATTCGTCTGCCTGACGGGCAGTTTTGTTAGTGGAGGGTTCAGGGACATATTTGGGGCACTAGTAAGTCTGGGCAGGGGCAATGGTGATGGCGGATTGGAGGAGTGAATTGGTGCCGAAGCCGAGTGGGGAGCTATTTCGTTAGTGTGTTGGTTACCCGGAACATCGTGCATGTGAGAGAGCATTCAGGGTAGAAGCTGACAGAGATACACACTCACCTTGAAGATGGGTTCGAGTTCAAAACAGCAAGGTGTCATTGTACTTTGATGAAATAGAATCAACCTGCAGCTTCAGCATAAGCGACAGAACAACCCTCCGCAGACTACATGCACAGATTTAACTCATCCCCACGCCAACCCTCACCTACGTCTCTCTCTCTCGCTCGCTCTCTCTCATATGCGCGCAGACCAAGTGCATCCCTTCCGCAACATGCCGGGTGGGTCGCTGTTCCACTGAGGAAGAACTGTTCAAGACTCTAAATAGTCCCCATGGTCCAACCCAAGAGAATTGGTCATGGAAGCTTTTCCTCCACTTGTCAGGCAATGTCTCGCCGATGTGCTGATTGACAAAGGCGTGGTTACTGGTCCAACGTTATAGCAAGCATTTCCACCCCCGCCAATGCGGCGTCGCTGCCTGTTGATTATCCAGGCAATCTTCCTGCTAGGCCTGCTCGCTGCATTTTACCTCACACAATTACAGTCCCAGGCGCTTCTACAGCAAGACCCTGGCACGATCAACCCTCTCAAGGTTGCCATTCCCCAGACAGTCCACCAACTCTTCATCTCGACACCAGGATCCCGCGGTTCCAGCTTCTATCCGGATAGACATAGCACCTCGTGGCTCCAATCAGGATGGAAAGTCGAGTACTGGAGGGAGTCTTCCTGCTACGAACTTGCGCAGGAACTCGATGATACTGGGTCATACGCAGCCACATTCCAAGCCCTACCCGCTCCTATCCTTAAATCCGACTTTTGCCGCTACTTGATCTTATTCGGGCGGGGTGGGATTTACAATGACCTCGATGTCCACCTTCTCCACCCGTTGCCGTGGCCAGTCATGGGTGCAGTCAAAGATGGTGTTGATGAACCACCCGCTGTGATTGTGGGCCTGGAGGGCGATGCCGCCACAACTGGCCTGCCTCGATCTCCGCAATTTGTTCAGTGGACCATGGCATCCGTTCCTGGTCACCCCATCTTTCTTGACGTGTTGCAGTCCATTGTTGACCGCACAGCCCACTATATCTCCACTCAGACTGCAGAGGCTGGTGCGGACATCGACGTGATGAGCTGGACCGGTCCCAGTGCGTGGACAGATGCGGTGCTGGGATATCTACAGTGCGATGATGAGCAGGTTCAGCAGCTCCGCGATCTTCACGAGGTGGTTCGCGTTCGCGACGTGATCATTCTTCCGCGACGATCCCTTGCTGTCCTCCAGGGCGAAGATCAGACTGCACCAGATGTTCTGGTTAAGCATTATTTCTCGGGAAGCTGGAAGACGTGTGCTCGAGAATGGCTTCGCTGGCTGTGGCCGGGGGTTTGTTAACTGCTGCAGGTCATAAACAAAGAAAAGAAAATGAAACCCCGGTGGATTCAATGATTATATTGGTTTGAGAGTACTTCGATTACATTCGTAGTTATACAATCGTCTCGCTCGTCATATCAACTGATAGCGGGTCATATTAGTGGTGGCAAGCCGTCGTAGGGTCGCCTTCCTCAAAATTCGTGGACAAGAAAGCGTATCCTTTTTTATTCCTCCCATCTCACGATGTCACTCGATCAAAACATCTGATCGGATACATCTAGCCCTCGATCAAGTTCGTCCGCCTCCTTGCGCAGTACCTCCGCCCGGAATTTTCGGAAGGCCGTCTCGATTCTCTGCCTTCGATCGGGATCCGCCGTGATGCAGCGACTTCCACTCCAAGCTCCTCCCAAGAAACCTACAGTGGGGTGATTACTTAGTAGAAGCCCTCTAAATAGGATATTGAGATCGTTCAGATGCAGAAACCTACCAAGTTCGCCGCCTAAGAAGAACCCTCCCGCGCTAGCAAAGAAATAGGTGGTGAAATCACCCAGGGTGGTGGGTTTCAGCAGGGGAGTGATATCTGGGATAGGCTCTGTTTTGCAACAATGTCAGTATACAGCAGTCTAGTAGAAGGAGCACTGGAATTAGTGAATACCAGAACGTCCGCCGGCAAAGACAACGTGAGTAGGCTTTTCGCGGGCGCGAAAAACCTCGAAGAAGGCCTTGCGTGAACTTCTTAGACGGAAAGCAGCATAGAGACCGAGTCCGAGACCAACGGCTGAGCCAATTGTCGTCCACCAGGCGACCTTTTGTGTGGCTGTGGTGAGAGCGTCGCGGTCTTCAGAGCGCAGGTCATGCTGCAGATGCTCCTCCGCCAGACGGGCGAGCTCGTTGTTGCGGCGATTGCGAAGAGCAGGGTAAAAGTCGGGCATGGTGAAATTGAGAAAGGGGTAATCATAGACAAAGTGTCACTACTAGTATCGGAGTACAGAGAGGGATAATGACCAGTGACAGACTTTATAGGGGATGGATGAGGGTGTAGATAGACCAAAGCAGGGCGGGGGCAGGACACGTGATGACGTCATGAACCGGGGTTTTGTTCTGGATGATCAGGTACTACTAGTTATATGACATTTTGATTGTCTTACATGTTATGTTAGATCAGAAATACTCCAGTCATATCACTGAGTGCCTTAGTGAGCCCAGCTGTCGGGGTATCGTTGTTGCCGAATTGAACTCTGTGCGGATACAGAAAGTAGTGCTGTCGAATATATATGTTGGTCCTAGCGAGCCCTTCCTGCAACGAGTGGAGTTCTAAAGTGTCAAAAAGTTTGTTTAGGGTCTCGGTTTTGGTTTCCCCTTCCCTACTTGCTATTTGCCATTGTCGCGAGAAATTACCGACATACTCCAGATGTATTAAGAACAGTGACCATAACTAGTAGTAAACTACTACTTAGTATAGTGACGGAGTACAACAATCAGGCGATGAGGCACCAAGGCACCAGAGCGGTGGGGAGTTTCTGCCAATCCCGTGACCCACGTGTCACGAAGTCAATTAATCCCAAAATAACGAGTTGATCAATCAATTAATCTCCTACGCGACGCGTTTCTTGATCTTCAACTTTCACCGTCTTTCTAGTTGGCAGCTCAGGTACTCCGTATAGGTACTAGGCTGGCTTTCCTCTGCTCTGATATGGTGCCAATGCTTCCATCTCGAATGTCCTTCCTATCCTTCTCTATTGTTTCGGCGGCCTTAGGTGCTGCTGGTCCCGTTACCTCACTTTCCTAGTAACCATTCTTGAACACCATGGTTCACATTCAAGACCTCCCCCGGGAGCTGCTTCTGCAGATTTTCTCCTCCGTTGCCCATAGCAATCCTTCCAACCCACAGGATCAGACCACCAAGTCTCCCGATGAAAGCGCCAAGACCAAATCTCAACAACCCCCTGCCGATAGACTGTTCCCACGCCCTCCTTGGGTCGCCGAGGATGAAGATGATGAGACTGATGAGACTGATGAGGAGATTCCGGGGAACAATGGCAAGGGAGTGAGCGCACAGACCCAGGAAATCATCGATTTGTACAATCTGTGTCGGGTGTGCCACTTGTTCCGCGGACTCGCCCAGCCCCTGCTGTTCGAGCATGTTGACTTGTCTGGCTTCCCTGGCGATCTGCGAAACTTCGTTTCCATCACTCGTGCCGTCCTCCGCCGTCCCAGCCTTGGCGAACATATCCGCAGCCTCTCCGTTCTTCCGGACCACGATCATCATGTCTTTCATAAAAGCCCGCAGCCTCTAACCGCCAACGACCGAAAGCTCTTTACCTCATCCATACGTGATCTCCGCTTGGACAAGGAGGACGAGCGCGACTGGATGACTGTCTTGAAGGAAGAGGAGTTCGACTACAGTCTTATGGTCGTCTTGCTTATCCTGAAAGCCCCAAACCTCCGCATGTTGACATTGGCGGGAGGTTACTTTGCCATGAAGCCACTCGAACAAGCTTGGAAGCGCCATCCTGCCATACTGTCGAAACTTGAGGACCTGTGGTTCGAGGGCGACGACCTCCTCAAGGGCTACCCGCTCGCTTTTTATGAGGAGATGATTAGTCGGCTCCAGTTACGCTCGATAGATATTGAAGAAGCCCACCTCAGTGACGACTTGTTCCCCGCCTGCTGGACTCCACAGTCTCTGACCATGAGCCGGATCGGCCTACACCTCTGCCATATCGATGCCCCCTCTGTCACCAAGTTACTCCGCGCATGCCGCACAGTGACCTCCTTCACTTACGACAACTTTACCACGGACCCCGAGGACCAGCCTCATAACCTCCGCCCCGTTCGCGAACCCACCGCCCCCGAACTAAGCGCCGCGCTCCTACCCCACAAGGACACCCTAGAAGGCTTGACAATGACCTGGAACCGCGAACCCTGGGAGCGAGAGAACATCCAGGATTATGTGGCCCGCCAGGCGAAGATCGGCTCGCTGCGCGACTTCTCCGTGCTCCGGCGACTGACCATCCAACAAGCTTTCCTGCCGCCGCAGCCCCAGTTTCCTTCCACACTCGAAGAGCTCACTGTCGAAGACTGTAACATTTCGGTCCGTGGTTTGGCCGAGCATCTGGCCCAGGAGCGTCGCCAGGGACGCCTTCCCGCACTCAAGAGCGTCAAGATGCTCGCCGTGGACATCACCGACCCCGTCAAACTCCCGGGTCAGCAGATCCCATTTGGCGAGACACCGGAGCAGTGTTGTACTACTATCAAGAACCTGTTCAAGGATACGTCCGTCGATTTAACCATCCTTCCTTATCCGGACTGTCCGCAAAATATCGCTGGCAACTCCGACCTCGACGACTACTCTGATGATGACCCCTACGATATGACTGATGAACAGCATATTCCAGGCGATGCTCATGCAGGCGATGCAGGCACAGGGGGACCATTACATGGATGATGAGTTCGACGAGTGAAGATGATGACCGAGCGAGTTGATGACGATGTTCACGAGTAATTTGGAAAATGTATCACCTTCATAATATCTATATTTGACTAGGCTGGATCTAGACTGGGCTGGATTCTCTCAAACTTTCGGATTGTTGATGGGCATCGTTACAGGCGATGGGAAATCTGGCACGTATCTTTCGGAAATCAATTTTGGCTTTCTGGCAGTGAACTTTCCTTCGGCGGAGCAAACTTTTCAGGGCAACATGATTATGGGAGCTGCAGAGAGCCAGTCTTGTTCCTTCGGGTGCAACCATACACGCCACACAATTCACTTGCTGGAAGGCCCCGTCATTGCCTCCGTTTACACATCGACGGCATCGTTATCATCATCATGGCAACCTGTCGACACGAAGATAACATCGATAGTATCCTCGTTGTCCTCATTCCAGATATAATCACCCGAGACCTTGAGACCGCGATAATCTGGCAACGGAGACGGAGGCTCAACCTGAGCAATCCCTAACGTCACAGCAGTTCCTCCCTGAGGCCGCTTATGCGCCCGATGTCCCTTGAACTGCAAATAGTACCAGTACCCGCCGAAGCCAGGATAGGTGTAGCCGCCTAGATTGGTGGCTACCCAACTGCCCCCATTCGTCTGGGGACTGCCCTGCGGATCCCAGAGGAAGAACTTGCCTCCATCGCGCACTGCATAGTTCCAATCTGCATCGGCGGGGTTTGGGAATAACCGTGTGTTCCAAACTTGGAAGGTTCGTCGTGCGCTTCCGAACTTGTAGTAACTGTATACGCCGCCGTCTGAGCCGAGTGTCTTGCCGCTATTGACATCTTCGATATAGTAGCATTCACCGTAGTGGATGCCTAGGCTGCTGGTGGCTGGCCATTTCTCATCCGCGAGGGTGTATTCCACATCGTCAGGTGGCAGTGGCGTAAGATGAGCCAGGGCAGGAGTGACCGGTGGTTGCAGTAGACTCGGCTGGAGGGCTGGGTAACCGTAGACCTGCTTGAAGAGTGCCGTGGTCGTAAGGACAGTCAAGGCCCAGGCTAAGAAACTACACATGATGATGATTAGGTGTAGATGCAGGTTGCAGTATAGCTGCTGAAGTACAAGAGCGTCTGAAGGCACACACCCAGGGGTATGTGGGCCGTGTGATAAGCACATGCTTATATAGCAAGTTAAACCTTCTGCACCCTGCTGCGAACATGGACAGTGTGTCGTAATCGTCACACCATTGTCTGGAAGACCGTGGACGATGCGCAGGTTACCTGCCATTGATTCTTTGGGCAGAGGTTTGTGCCATAGTGTAACGAGACTATCGTAGGCGAAGTATAAAGGCCAAGTTAAAGTTAAAGAGCTATATGTACTGGCTAATGCTCGTGCAGGACTGGGAATGGCTGAGTTGGAGAGGCAGGTTGGGGCTGTTCTGTTGACAATGTGACTACGATGGTGGACTGGAAGGTTTAAACCTAGTACACTTTGAACTTCAGACCCGAGTCTCACATGCTCGCAGAGCGCTTGAAAGAAATGCTATGCGGCGTTAAACCGATGGCTTCGTGGGGTGATATGGCCAAAATAATAGCGATCACATCGACGGAAAGTCTCGCAAGGCCACCGAGACAATATTGACAGCAGATCATCGGCGCAGTACCGTGGTGTTGACCTGAAGCTATCCTGCACACCGGTGTAGGGTTTTTGGGTTAAGTAGAGGCTCTTAAGGTTTCAAGAGGTGCAACATAGCTGATTTACAGTTTACAATCACCCAATTGTGACGACGCAACCATCGGTGCGTTTCTGGGAAACAAGAGCAATTCCCGGCACGAAGAACCCTGTCAGATGTTGGGATTAGAGAGTGGCACTTGCAAGACTGTAGTATCCCATTCCCAGGCCGCCCGGAGAGAATTCTGTGCATGGGTGGTAGTTAGTCCATGGATCTGCTCGGTCTTGAGCAAGATATCGAACAGGGCCTCTTGCTCCCGTCTATCGGTCATGCGATCGCCACCTAGAATCATTAGTCAGTAAGAGAATTTCTTTACCATGAAGAAAAGACAGCATACACATGGATACTCCCATGCAGGCGGAAACGAGTGCTGGAGCGGTTTTGTTAGAGATGGCTATCCCACAAAGACTTAACACATGGTGCTTGACCTCGGCCTATCGCAGTTAGCGATCAGGCTCGACTACCAACGGAATTGTACATGCAATACCTCTCTTCGTGCGATGGCTGCCTTGCGTCCAGGCCCAAGGCGGGGCACTGTAGGGTCGAATACGGCCAGGAGAAGACGGGCAAGGTGCCAGTGTTGAATACCTGTGACTGTAAGCGTCGTCAGTGTCGATATTTCTGACCTTTGAAGTCAACCCCTCACCGATGCAGTCATCCAAATACCACAGAACAGGAAATATCTCCCCCTTGTCAGTGTTTGGGGGTCGACAATACAAGGGATCGAAGGTAGGCGGAGTCAGAGCTTGCCATTGCCGGTTGTAGGCACACAGTTCCTCATATTGCGACCGAATCTGACCTTCC